TATCCAGGAGCCCACCAAGAGTCACCTCATTAAAACAAAAGACACTGCTATTACCCAGAAAATTTTGAAGGATTTAGGAACTCTGTGTCAGGAATCAGGGCAGAGACCAATATGTATATTCTCTATTACCTCACGTATTTTGCAATGTCTACATACATCAAATCATCATGATGTACACCTTAAACTTACACAATATTGTATGTCAATTTTATCTGAATAAAACTGGAAAAAACATTTTAATTCCACAATCAGTTAATTTTAAGGAGATTATCTTTGATCGTGTGGGTGAGCCTCATCCAATCAGTTGAAAGGCCCTAAGAGCAAAGCAGGTTTCCCTGAAGAAGAAGAAATTCTGCCTCAAGACTGCAACAGCAAATCTTCCCTGAGAGCCCTAGCTGGTTTGGCTCAGTGGTTAGAGTGTCGGCCCTCGGATTGAAGATCTCGGGTTTGATTCTGGTCAAGGGCATGAGTTGTACCTGGATTGCAGGCTCAATCCCAGGTCCTGGTCCGGGTGTGTGCAGGAGGCAGCCAATCAATGTGTCTCTCTCACATCAATAATTTTTTCTCTCTCTCTTTCCCCCCCCACTCTCTCTGAAAAGCAATGGAAAAAATATCCTCAGGTGAGAATTTAAAAAAAAACCTTCCCTGAGAGTTTTCAGCCTGCACTATATATTTTACATTTGCCAGGCTCCATAATCACGTAAGCTAATTCTCTGGAAGAAATCCCTCCCACTCTCTAAATCTCTCTTTCTTATATAAATATATCAGATATGTATATATTAGAAGAATATTATCCTTCTGGTTCTTTTTCTCTAGAGAACCCTGCCTGATACATACGCTAAATTCCAACAATAATGAAATAGTTAATAAATTATAGCCCTGGCCAGGTTTCGGGTTTGATCTCAGGTCAGGGCACATACAAAAGGCAATCAATGAGTACATAAATGAGTGAAGCAATGGATTAATGTTTCTCTCTCCCTCCCTTCCTCTCTCTCTCTCAAAAAAAATCAATAAAATTTTTTTAATTAAAAAGTTTATAAAATTAAAGTTACAGTAATGCTAAGTTTATTATTGAAGAAAAAATTTAAATAAATTAAGTGCAGCCTAAGTGTACAGTGCTTATAAGAGTAATGTCCTAGGCCTTCACATTCACTCACCACTCACTGACAACCAGAGCAACTTCTAGTCCTGCAAGCACTATACAGGTATACTGTTTTTTATTTTTTATACCATTTTTTACCGTACCTTTTCTGTGGTTAGACATGTTTAGATAAACAGATACCATTGTGTTGCAATTGCTAACAATATTCAGTACAGTAACATGCTGAACAGGTTTGTCGTTACGAGCAATAGGCTATATAATCTAGTCTAGGTATGTAGTAGGCTATACCATCTAGGTTTGTGTAAGCGCACTCTATTCACGAAACTACAAAATCGCCTAACGATGCATTTCTCAGAACATATGTGTCATTAAGTGGCACGACTGAATTGCAGTATACTTATATAAATTGCACAAATATTAAATGTACAGCTTGATGAAATTTAAATATGTATACACGAGTATAATCAACAAGAAGATTGATATATAGGCATTTTTGGCCCTGGCTGGGTGGCTCAGTTGGTTAAGAGTGTTGTCCTGATACACCAAGGTTTTGGGTTGGGTCCCCTGGTCAGGGTACATAGAAGCAACCAATGAATGCATAAATAAGTGGAACAACAAAATTGTTGTTCCTCTCTCTAAAATCAATTAAAAAAATATATAGAAATTTCCAGCACATCAGAAGCCTCCCTGGCTTCTCCCAGTTAGTAACCACCAAGATAATAACTATTCTATTACTGTGATATTGTGATATAGTAAGAAACATATATATTTGGTCTTTGTCCCTGGTTCCTGGCACAAGAGCGCCTAAAACTCTTGTAAATTACCAAGTGGTAATGCTAAGAGGAGCATCTTTTGTACTTTTAACAGGTCCCTTTCAGGGATACCTGAATTTCTATTAATTCGGTGACTCAAGATGGGCCACTATATGGCTTCAGAACGGGGGCTGGTTGCTAGAGGAATCAACCATAGGATTTGAGGCTTGGAACATTCAGCCCCACCCCACCCCCCAACTGCTGAGAAGGGGGGGAGTACTGGGGATTGAGTTAATTACCAATGGCTAATGATTTTATCAATTGGGTCTACGTAATGGAACCTCCATATAAACCCTAAACTATGGGGTTTGATGAGTTTCAGAGTTGGTGAATGTACCCATGTGCCATGAGAGAGGTGCTCCCCAAACTCCATAGGGACAGAAAGTCCTGTGCTCAGGACCCTTCAGACTCACCCTATGTATCTCAATCTGGCTATTCACTTGTATCCTTCATAATATCCTTTATAACAAACTGGAAATAGTAAGTAGAGTATTTTCTTAGTTCTGTGAGCCATTATAGCAAATTATTGAACCTGATGAGGTGGTCATGGGAACCCAAATTTATTTTTTCTACTATCAGTTAACATTTGAACTATTTCCAATTTAGGGCTATTATGAATAAAGTTGCTATAAATATTCTTGTGCTTTTTGGTGGATCTAAACACTCATTTTTGTTGGGTTTATAACCAGAAGTAGAACTGCTGGATTACAGGTACACATGTTTAGTTTTAGTAGGTACTGCCACAGATTTTTCTAAATTGTTTGTAACAATTCATATGCCCACTAGCAATGTATCAGAGTTCCAGTTCTATCTCCTCACTACTTGGTATTATCAGTCTTTTAAAAGCAATTGTGAACTTTTAAATTTCTAAATGAATCTTCATTTTATTTTATCTCCACAGAAATTGTGGGCTCTGCTGTGAGGTGCATTCAGAGATAGTTCTTGAGATGTCAAGACGAAGTGTACCAACCTCGAGGATGAGCCTGTAGACTCTGATATGAGCAGAGGAGACCAGAATCCAAGCACAGCCCAGCAAGAGCCTAGAGATTCTCAAAGGAATTCCAGACTCTTGCTCAATGGGCTCCTGGGTCTTCCAGGGCATTATGAGGCAAGACAGAACTGGAACAACAGGCTCAAAAAAGGAAGCTGACCCACTTCTGACCCATTCACTGTGTGCATGTCTCCAAAGGCCTGACCAAATAGTATGGAGCTGCCTTTCCCAAGGTGGCATTAGGGGTTAGTGGCAGTGCTGACCTGTGATGGCGAAGGATCCTGTTTCAATCTGGTCTCTGGTCTCTGGTTTCTGGTCCGGCTTGGAAAACAAACCCAAATCTCCTTGGAAGCAGAATTTCAGATGGGCCAACAGAGCTCCCTGGAGGTATGAGGCCTGAAGCCTGAAGGGACCAGCAGGTAACTGGGCACTGCAGCCTGAGTCTGGTCAGCCACAAGAAAGCATTCCTGCTTCCTTTCAGGGTGTTTTTTTGGTTTGTTTTGCCTGGGGAATGTAGAGGCTGGCACTCAAATTCCTACAGGACCTTCTGACAATGGAGGCGAGGGTGATCCTGAAGAAGGCTCCTTATCTGGTGACCAATGTCAGCCCTAACTGGACTGAGAAGTCAATGGCCACTTTCTTCTCTATGGTTCAGAATTTGACCCAATCTGCCCTGATGGAGATATGACCTGGGCCCCCCAGGGGAAGGGAGGCAGTGGCCATCCCCTATTTCAGTCCTCAGTTTAGGATTTCAGTACTCAGGGAGATGTAAGAAACATAAATTACGGGGTGAAGCCTATTTTACAAAAGACAGTGTGGCCGGTAGGTCATAGGAATGTAAAGTGGGGCGAGGTGACTGAGGGGCTGTTACTGGTTAGGGCCGAAAAGAGGGTCAGGCGGGGGAGGTGGCCAGTGGAAGGAAGGAGGAACAGTGGAGAATGGAGCCTCGGGGCTTCAGGGGTGGGGAGAGCG